TCTTGGATTGCAGCGTCCCGTTGCCGTTCATACTTGACAGAGGAACGCTACCGGTCGTTCTTTTTACACTATGGGTGGCACCATAGCTAGTTCCCCGGAACCAGCGGAAGAGCGGGCGGAGGGTGACGAGACTTCCTGCCGTTATACCAAGACCAGCTTCAACATTGGACCAGATTGAAATATCGGTTGTTGCATCTAAGTAGAGCTGTGGGTTAGCTGGGAGAGTCTTTCGGTTTCACGCAGGGATGACAGCGAGAACTCACAGAGGAATTCGGTGTCTTTATAGTGATGAAGGTAAGGAATGCGGACTATAACGGCAGCACTCGCACTAAACCCCAGACAATCAGCAATAGAACCAAAGGCAAAAGTATGCACCTATGGCAACTTAAACTTACATGCAACCCAAGCTTAGGATACCGGCCAAAGCAGCCTTTGTCTTCGTGTTCATTTGCAGGTTCCACACCAGGGCGATGGGCAACAGACCCAGGATAAAGTCGCAAAGTGTGGCGAAGACGCTGTAAACGTAGGCGATATCAATGAGGTGCTGAGTTTTCATACAAGTTCCCGAAGCGCCCGGCCTCATCCGCTGCCAGAAATACTCCACCGGATGACATTGTAATGTCAACATAAACCAAAATACAAGGCCCACGACAGTTGAGACGCCAATGACGACCCAGAGGAGTATCGTATGCATTTTAGCGACCGTGAGGCGAAGAAGTGCCAGTGCGATAGAAATCTTGGCAATTACACATGTGAAAACATAGCTTGTTTGGCCGAGCCACCACCACTGTATCGAGCGCGTCAGTCAAAGAAGAGGTTCAATCTGGGATTCCACGCACAAACAATGCGGCTTCAACATGTTCAGGCTCAAGGTCATCCAACTTCCGACCTATACCATAAACCGCGCCTGTGATACCGCATAAGGCGAACAATATATTCAACGCCTGCGATTGAATTATAACATGGTTAGTTTAGTCCAACAAGGCATACTACGGCAACCCAGTAAGCCAACCACATACCATCGCGAACACCATGAAAATATCATCCCACCCGAAGGCTTTTACCAACCTCAGCCGGACAAAACATCGCAGACAGACGGAGATGAAAGAAATCCCCAGAAAAATGATGGTGACGACAAAGATTTGTTCGCTGCGACCCTTGAATTCTACCATCGTGAAGCAAAGGCTTGATTAGATCAAGCAGGATGCATAATCTAGAAAGCCAAGGACATCTCCTAGGAGGAGTGGAAAGGATAACCACAGGGTTGAATGTAACTCAAGACATCATCCTTCCAACTGCGGGATACCATACATTATTAGGGGGGGGATGAAACTGGGCCTCTGCGCTAAAAAAGTACGCTTTGACAATTACACTTTTACAGTCGCAGTGGCAAGCATGCGACTCCAGGGAGTTAGTTGCATCGAAAATGCCGACTGGAGCCAACTCCAGGTGCCACTTCGTTGGGTGTGTGGGGATAGCGCCATTGTCATTTTCATTTTATTTGGCTCAAGAAGCAGCATGCGGCAGAGCAGAACTTTAAACGTGCCTCATAGCCGGACTTTTCCAGGACACTATTGGGAAGCGAGCCTCCTCAGTAAGCGCATGTTCGGAACTACAAGGATGACCTCGGCTGGTCTATTGTCTACTAGTCCTTAATTTGGTTGCCCTAAGGCGCAGGGGTTGAGGCACTATGTACGAGCCCATGTACTCTGTATGATGACATGACTCAAAGTGAGGAGAAAAAGCGATGCGAAATGGCTTACTAGGGTTCATCTGTCTTGGACAAGAATTATGGGCATTGACCACGGTACTTGAGTGGGCTTCTGCTTGTGATGGTCCATAGTTCCGACGATGGAATAAGTGGAGAGACGAAGGACACGGACGGGTTAGTGATAAATTGGAATTACCTAACATCGAAGGTGAAGGGGTTCATCAGTGGAGGCAAATACGGACTTGCGCGGAGCCATAGCCGTCGTAATATCCGCTCCGGCCCGATAATGTCCCAGTTCGCACGGCGTCTCAAGAACCTCGCTCGAGCTTGGTTCAATTATGAGTGTTCTTCTCCCAATCTCAATTGTGAAAGATACAGAGTTTGGCATCAATGCGCCTGCAAAAAGTCCCTTTCAAATATGGTCGGGACGTGCTTACAACAATCACATGGGTTACCATTGGCCACGAAGGAGTTTTATTCACAATATTACCTAAGGAACCCATCTGCCAAGCGAAGCTAATCCAGTAGAGCCACCAAATACTCTTCCTTTTTAACTTCTTCATTCTTTTTTTTTTTTTTTTTGTTTTCCCCCTCGTGTGGATAGCTAAGCTATGCACATTCCAGACCGTGCTACAGGGCAGAGTGGGTGAGCAATCCATGGTTCAGATCCTAGCCCGCTTGCTATAACTGTAATGAATCTAATGATGTCCAATTAATATACCGCCTACCGAGTCATGGGTTTGTCGGCAACGTCAGGAACATTTAACTTATGGAGCAAATAGGTTAAATCCCCTTTTACATTCTGAAGGATCTTCACATGCGTATTCCAATAATCCAGTTTCGCCTCTCGTGGGATATCGAATACGAGAATCAAACTCTGCTGTGCATGGTACCCTAGTATCGAATGCTGATCGGAGGTCCAGATGAAGAAAGGCTTTGTAAATTTAATTGATCCCATCTTAAGATCGGCATGATAGACTTCATGGCTCGAAGTAAGTTGGTTGAAGCGGTGGCTATTAAGATTCTTCCATCATAGGGATCAGCACACACCGAAGACCAACTATAAACTATAAACCGCTAGCTGCCCCTTTTCAGCCTCCAGCGCGTCTACTTACTGTTAGTACGTAGCACCATCGCTAAGTAGTGTGTGAGGATCGCTTGTTTCTAGACTATTCGCTAAACCTTGTTTTTCTTTCCAGGATAACCCGTTTGATTTTCCATGAGTAAGAACAAAGCTAACCCTCACTGGCTCACTCATATCACCGGCGGTATAACTATACAGTGTTAGTATACACATACACTTGCACTTTATACCCACAACGGCTGGGCCACTCACATGTTCACTAATCCTTGAAAAGCGACACCGCGGCGATAGGTTACATTCAAAGTAACATGGCACTGCGTCCAAGCCGGAGTTCTACCAAGTTGGGCACTGGCGGCTTCGCCCCAAGTTGGTAGGGTCGAGTTCCCGCCCCACAGGACTCCGTAGTGGTATCCGGGAATCCACAGTAATTTATCTGCTTTGCCGATGGGATATTTTAGGCTGTTTAGCACATTCTTCGCCTGTGTCATTGCTCTACTCCGGAGTATGCTGTGCATAATAAGATCACAACAGGGCAAAAACGTGGTGCTGTAGATTCATTGCCACCCTCTCATTCACCCTCTCATTCACCCTTTCATTTGTGCATATACATCTGTATACACTACTAGCAATAGGTATGCACGGTGTTATACCTACATACCTAGTAGTAATTAAGAAACAGGACCTCTGCCAACTAACTACTAGATGTAAGCACAAGCTATAAGAAATCTCCTCCCCGAAGACATTATATGGAGTAGCACGATCTACTCCGGCAGATACTAGTACCATGTTAAGCAATATTGCTATTCGCTATATTTGGCGAGAGGCCTCTGAGTGGTCTGTTTCATCGACCAAGAGAATTTTTATAGGACGTGAACTGCATATCAATTATGCTATTTTAGGAATTGTTAGTGCAAATCCGCTGCCGGGAGCGGCTTCTGTCTTCCCCCTTTTCCTTAGCCTCTCCCACCGTTTCCACGCCGTTCAAGTTTCAACTGCCGCAGCGGGGAATGTTCGATTTGGGTACTCGTTTCCGCGGTGAAATGTACCCCGTAGCGAGCAGACCAGCAATGCTTGTTGACGGCGCCTTGTTGATCAAATCCTGCTGTGACGATCTGCTCCCGATCCGTAGCTAATGTTATCAGCTAGGTTCAACTATCGCTCGAGTCTAATCTTGCCCTCAAGAGAAGAGCCGTCTTTCGGTATTCGATTCGGCAATACTTCCGCGAGTACCGAGTACATGCGCTTGATAAACTAGCTTAGCTTCCTTGTCGACTGTGTACGCTAGGTGTGAATGTTTCAGGCTATCTCAATCTGACACAGGCATCGTATCACGATCTTGCGTGACATGCATAAGGCTGGAGTCCGGTCGATGTCTCTTTTCCATTTATATCTGCACAGATGTCACCTCTGTGGGTTATTTTTAGTTGGAAGAAACAGGTCTATTTTTTATGTGAAACTGACCGACAGTGACAGGCCATCCCACCTAAACTCTATTTCAAAGAGATAAGAATTCCTTATCTAACCGTCTTCCTCTTTTAGCCGGACCATCTCTGCTATACAACTCATTGAATCAGACCGTCGAGCGAAGTGATCTGTCAGGGCATTCCTGGGGTCATTGTATATTGCGTTTTTGCCCAGCATGTCAGTTGACACTGCCTTTACGGCCAGTGCTCGACAACGCAAGGCCTGTCAGCATCTCCGAGACCGGGTGGGAGGTTGTCAATACGCATCTACGGAGGTCCTCTTTTGAAGACCACAATGTTGCACCATTGTGAACTGTTGCTCTTCATATAACCGCCAAACCCCGGTCAATGACTGTCACCGTCGTGTTGAACTACCAGTAGACATATAGTGAAGCTTGTTATTCCTGTGTCCACTGCAGTGTCCCACATGGCGGCTCTCGGCCATGGTCCAAGAACCAACCCTAATGCAGGGACTAAACGCGAGATCGAGTCCCTTCGATGCACCAAGCTGCCCCATCGATGATGCAGATGATAGGCAGTGGGAGGTGGTGGAACTTTGGTATTAACGACGGTTACGAATACCATTGCTCAGGGCAACTCCAGTATCCGGGTACTCCTTGCAAATTGAAAGGTATAGCAGACATCACATGTCGTTATGTGTTAAATTGGACTACAGCGTCTAATACTAGGGCTTATACATGGCGTCATATCAAGACACAAGTCGTCTGTCTGAATCCGCTAAGTCACAATGGCGACCAAGAAAGGCAAAGGTAAGCCAGCACAGCAACATAGTATGTAGTATTGTATGATATCTTTGAATAATATGATGAGCTCTTTTATAAAGCAACTGTGTCCTGAATAGAGGTCCTGCTCGCTTCTGAAATCAGGTATGTATAGCCACCTATATACATGTTTAGAGCATGATACGATGAAATATTATGCACTAGAAATGGTTGTGAATGAACGGAAACAACGCGAATGGTCACCTTTAGATCTACCACTTGGCATCCGGCTGCTCCTGGAACTTCTGAAGAATGGAAACGATGTTCTCCAGAGCCTTCACCTCGCGGGTCAACTGCTCCTGGATCTTCGCCTTGACCTCGTCGGAGACAGAGGTGCTGGAGGCCAGGGACTTGTAGAAGCTCTCATTGTCAGGGGCAGCACCCATGGCCAGGTTAAAGACCGGCTTGATAGCCCAACCGTGGTGCTTGCTGAGGGTAACGCCGTAGGCTCCACGGAAGGAGTCAGCGAGCTTCTCGGAGGTGTTGTCGACGTGGCGGCGGAGGGATTGGGCAGTGAAGTCAAGACCCCTATTTTAATTCGACGTGGTTAGCTAATTGCACAGTTACAACCATTCCATATATTCGAAACATCCATGAGTGGAGACGTTTCAACCCCCTGATAACCACCCTAAAAGAGTTGAGAGCAACGATCAGTACATACCTAACAAGCCAGAGCAGACCCTCAGAGGCAATGTGCTTCTTGGTCTTCAGCTCATTCACAGAGAGAGACTGGACAGTCTCAGACTCGGCGGGGGCAGCCAGCTGCCGGTCTTTGAGTTTCTATACTGAAGTTAGGTCTTTCAGCAGTTGAAGGTGGGGTAAAGATTCTCGGACCTTGACATTTCCAAGGAGGTCGCTCTTAACGGGGTAGAAAGCCTTAGATCCGAGCACATCTAAATATCGTCAGAATTGGACAGATTCCAGGGTCAAGTCAGTTCAATTTCGTACCGAACAAGGTAGTCAGGGATTCGGCGGCTTCAAGGAACTCGGTGGTAGAGATGGAGTTGTCTGCGCCAACGGGAACATCGGCGAAGGACCTCTTAAGGCCGTCAAACCAGGTCTGGGAAGCCATTTTTAATTGTAGTGTACGAGGAGAGAAATGAGAGAAGAGAGCAAGAAACAACGGAGCAGAATAGAGAGAAAGGAGGCAGTTTGAGGGGCACCAGCTGTTATGTCTACCTGTCACACCGCCGTTAGCGGGACAATGGCCACGCAAGCGGCAAGGCCAATCAGCGGGTCCAGACTCTGGCCCCCTGATTTACATCTGCAAACGAATCAAACAGCACAAACAAAGCAAATGGGTGACCAGGGCTGAAGAACAACGACGTCATCGCCTGAAGTCCACCTTTAGAACTGGGACTGATCGATCGGTTCCTGATTGCACATCGCCTCTGTGGATCTTGATAGGCCCTGGGGCTAATCAAGCTAATTTGTCTAATGTTATATAAAATATCTCCCCTTATAGTCACATCTGATGTTTGTGGAGGCGTGCAATGAGCACTCAATACCCCCTAGTTCAGCATGCTGGCGACACAATGGAGACCAACCTACACCCTACATTTCATGACCGCCACCATGGCCTGGAACCGGAGTTCTATACATCTGAGAAATTGGTAGGGGTATCATCATTCTATACACTGTCAGAAAAACTAACCAGTGTTAAAGCGTTATGCATCTGCCAATCATGTCCATGTAACCACCAGACGATTCTTTATCGGGCCAATCCCCAAAGGCTGGCTGCAAAACCATCGCAAATCATGGTATAAAACGCGACTTAGATTCAAAAATTACTCCTCCAAAACCGTTACTTTTCGGGCGGAAACCGATATTGCACAGTACTCACAGGACCCTGCGCGAATCGAGTTATCTCCAGAATTGACAAAGAACGATGAGCCAGAGGATACTATAGAGGGTGAACGGGAAGAGGACTCCAGTGAGCAGGAGGCTGGTGATAATAAAGCCCTCAGGACCTTAAGTGAACCGCTAGGGGAAACCACTGAAGCGCCCTCTTCCCATACCTCTGCCACACCCGGCCCCTCAATGTTGGTCCCAGAGAGGCACAACCAGACTCCAGCTAGCACAGCGACAGATGCGCAATCTTACATAACAGCAAGAGAGGTTGCCGCCAGTCCAGATAGCATACAGCAGACCTCGGGTGACCACAGCAGTGGGGAGACCATCAGACCACTGAGCAAACCAACATCAAGGACCATGAGTCAGTATGAGGCCAGTCAGTCAAGCCCCATGGCATCGCAAAGTGAGCTTGGATCTACGACCCCATTGCTAAGATCTAGGTCGCTGCTCAAAGGGAAAGGACGAATTACTCGAGCACTCTCAACACCGGACCCTGAAACTCAGGAAGTTGAAAGTACCGGAGACCTTGGCGATGTACGGCTTCGTTTCCACAAACGAGCCATAAAATACAATGATAATCTTTTGGATAGACAGCAAAGACTCCGATCTCGAATTTCAAGGACACATAACCTGGTCTCAGGAACGTTGTCGCGTCGGCGCAAAGTAAAAGCAGGCGAGATTATCAAGGCTGAAAGGATGCTTGTTCGAATCGAGGAGACGGAGCATGAACTTCCAGAAGACTATGGTGAGAATGACAGTTGGAGGATGGAAACTAGGGTTGCCGATAATTGGAGGGAGTTCTTGGTGGTTCTTCGAGCGACGTCTGATGAGGATGCGCCGTTTACTCTCCAGATGTATAAGACGCGCGTTATCCCCGAGATCCAGAGACACAACACTAAGGCGAAACCTTACCATGAGATCTTGTTAGGTCGCAAGAAGGTAAATTTGAACCTGTACTCTTCTCTGGATAAGACTGTTGTGATCTGGGGTCCCTGCAAGCATGGCACAAAGATCTACATCATACGACCTAAATCTACGGCGCACGCTGTTGAATGGTACACGTCTCTAGGTTACGCGTTAGGAAGACGCCGGGCGTCTTCACTATCAATTAATGTACCAGACCTTGGGGTGTCGCTTACATTTGAAAACCCTTTCGAGCAATTGGAAGCGCGTCTCGAGGCGAATGAGAGAAGTGGAATACTTTCTCGTTCTACCCCGCAGAAGGCAGCTGCAGCAGAGATCATTATACGTGGTTGCTTTGAATTGTTGGATAAACATCCTGAATGGGCTGACGTATTGCATAAATGGTCTAAAACTGAGAGAATGGGCCTTGCTTGGAAGCGATACGATCGTTTGGAATGGGTCCACGGCATCAATGAGGAAAGAATGTACGGAACCTTAGCGATGCAAAGGACTCACGAGCTCGAGCTCCGACCGCGACAACACTATCGTACGCATGTACATAATGATGACAAGAGGGACGAAGAGCCAGAACCAGTGGAGGGCTTTCTGATTCGCCTTACATCACAAAGAGGTGTGCACCAGCGCATGAACAAAATGTTCTTCAAGCGCCTATATTGCTTCACTCAAGACCATTATTTATTTTTCTGCAGACCCGCAAAGTCCCTGCCGCCAGCTCCCCCAAGACTTTATGCAGATGACTCAAATATCCCATCAACGCAAGACATTCTGAATGAAATGCCACTCTCATACGATGTTGATCCGTTTCCAATACAGAACGGAGAGATAACTTGGCTCTCAAGTGGCAACAAGGAGCACATAAAGAGACACGATGAGGAAGCATTTGCGCAGCTTCGCAGGAACCTCCACAATCTGACCAATGCTGATGGCCACATCGATATCTGTCGAGTGCAGGAAGTGCGTGATGTGCAGCGTAACAGTTGCCCTGCCGACCGAAATATCCGGGAAGGGCCAGATGTTGAGTTCAATCCCGAAGCGAGAGACACTCGGCGAGATGATGGCGCAACTCAGAAGTTTGACGACGATAAAACATTTGAGATGCTTTTGGATAATGACCTTGTTGTCCGGTTTCAGGCGTACGACGAGGGGACTAAGAATGAATGGATGAAGAGGCTTGATGCCCTTGTGAAATACTGGAAAGCACGGTGTGCAGCTGATGCGGCGGAGCTCAAACTCTTGCGGCAGCGCAACCTAGAGATACTTGATATTGACGAAGAGATGGAGTCTGTGGTAGGTCAATTCGCCAAAAAGTGGGAGGTTAGACGGGCAGAAGCATCGCCTTTGTTACATAATATGTGTGCTTTGACTGGCTGTCGAACAATCAAAGTAGGTCCCATATGCGTTTTTTGGGTAATCAATGATACTGATATTGCCCAGATGTCTGGTCAGCTCTTTCGGAAACCACGGCGGCACTCAACGTTCAAACGATGCAATGTCATTCTTACCGACGGGAAATTGTTGATTTTCCGGTCCTCGTTGAGGAAGCGCAATGGTGTTGAAATCCCTCATGTCCATTCTAACCTTGAAGCAACTATAGATCTAAGCGACTGCTATGTTTACTCGGGACTGTTGGCAGAGTCCGATCTGCTCTATACCAACCAAACTTTCGATAGCAATCGCCCAAGCCATCGCACCTTACCCCGGGCTTATCTTTCTACAGACGCTTATACGAGCAGTGATGAAGACACGGCCATTACCTTCGTGATTTGGCAGCCTCTGCGCAAGAATCTCTTTCGAGCACACGAGCAAGGGGAGAAAGGCCAAACAAAGCAGACGTTGAAGCAAGTTTCCAAGCTGGGTGTCCATGGGCGAACTGCGGTATTTAAAGCACGGAGCCGGATAGACAAAGATCGCTGGGTCATGAGCATTGCATCCGAGATTGATCGGCTGCAAGAAAGCAAGCCGGAAGATGTTCGAGTGGTTGCAACACACGGTTAGCTAAATCAAATACTTGAGCTCACTGGATGAGTCACTGCTCCTAGTCCGATAAATCGGGGTCTGTTGCTCAACTCATTGCGTACTTCTTACGCTCATTGCCCTAAATGTTCCCTGCATCTTCTACGTATTCATACACATGTCTTTATAATAATACAAAAGCTCTATGTACAGTACAGCATATACCCACAATGGCAAGAAGTAGAAGCCTCTATGATAGAACAGGCCGCTCCAACTTGACCGCTTCCTTCGACACACGATCCCTTACCTCGTGACGATAATTATCCCCTAACTTGCGCTCATCGTCACCCTCAACAAGCCCCTGCTCCCAGTCCGTCCATTTAAGCATCCTAAACCGCGGATACATCACAGCCATCACCCTTCCCGTGATCAGACTAAGACTCACAGGCCCATAGGTATTACTATCAAGCGACCTCTTCGGATCCGCCGCGTCACCCTCCAACCAAACATGATTAAACGGCACGATCTGCGAGGGCTTCATACACGGGTCGCGAGTTGTGATCCGATCCCCTGGAAGCCCAACCACACGTTTGATAGCAATATGGCCCGGATTAGCCGGTGACCTAGCAAAAAAACAAACACCAGTCAATAACCACCGCAGCCATAAAAGAAACCCATACAGATCCGAGCAGAAACATACCGGAATGTAACAACCATCCCCCTCTCCAACCTCCTCGTCCGCTCCCAGGGCCACCCAGCCCCGCCCCACGGCCACATATTCACAAGCACCATATCGCGCTTCGTATGCATCTGCTCATAGTCCTCATTGAGGTAGGGCGTCATTGACGGCCCGCTAACCCACATGACCCCCAGGACATGCTCGGAGAAGAAGAGTCCAATCGGGACTATGGGCGCTAATATGCGGAGAACACGGAAGCCTGTGCGGACAGAAATGGGCAGTGCCGCATAGCGACTTCGGAAGTGGGAGAACGGGGAGAATGGCTTGCGAGGTGGTTCCGGGGCAGGTTGAGCGGTTTGGGGTGCGGTAGAGGGTGCGGCAGAGGATGGAGACGGGGTGGGCGAGGGTGATGGTCGGGGTTGTGATCGCAGTTTGGCAGCTTCTGGTGTGAGCACTTGAAATCTGGGGCCCGGAGGCTTTTGGGATGAGCTTGACATGTCTGCTTTTCTTTTCTTCTCTCTTTTTTGCTATCGCGAGTCAGGATGATGGCGTCATGGGCGGCGTAGTGCGGGGTTGGTGGGTTGAATATCGTTGGAGGGCTAGTTGCGCTTTTTTAGGTATATCATACCTTATTTAATAGTCAGTTGCCATGGAGCTGTGGTGCAACTCCACGAAGTTGATATGGAATTGATGATGATATCGGGGA